TTCGATTCAAAATCATGCACTGTAGAACGCCTTAGTGACAATAAGGTCATTCTACGTGGTGATAGAATCGATAACATTTATATGGTTAACTTAGACAAATCTCCTTCCGGCTTTGCTAAGTGCCTCATGAGTAAAGAGGAAGACACTTGGCTATGGCACCGAAGGGTAGCTCATATGAACATGAACCTTTTGAACAAATTGGTTTCACAAGACTTAGTAATTGGCATCCCAAAACTTAAGTTTGAAAAAGACACCATATGTGATGCATGTCAAAAGGGGAAGCAAGTTCGGGCTTCGTTTAAGTCTAAAAACGTTGTTTCAACGTCTAGACCGCTTCAACTTTTGCACATGGATCTCTTTGGTCCTTCTAGAACGAAGAGTTTTGGTGGCAATTACTTTGCGTTTGTGATTGTCGATGACTACTCTAGGTTTACATGGACCTTGTTTCTAACTCACAAAAGTGAGGCATTTCACGTTTTCAAAAATTTCTTGAAGAAAGTTCAAAATGAAAAAGAAACAACCATAGTAGCCATAAGAAGCGACCATGGGGGAGAGTTCGAACGAAATCTGTTTTCAGATTTGTGTGACGAACTTGGCCTTGATCATAACTTCTCAGCCCCACGTACACCACAACAAAATGGAGTGGTGGAACGTAAAAATAGATGTCTCGAAGAGATGGCTAGAACTATGATCAATGAGGCAAAAATCCCTAAGAATTTTTGGGTGGATGCCGTGAGTACCGCGAGCTACGTGTTAAATCGAGCCGTCATTCGACCGATACTCATGAAAACGCCCTGTGAACTATACAAAGGGAGAAAGCCAAACCTTTCCCATCTTCGAGTCTTTGGTTGCAAATGTTTTATTCACAACAATGGCAAAGACAATTTAGGCAAATTTGATGCCAAGTCGGATGAAGGAATTTTTCTGGATTACTCATTTCGTAGCAAGGCCTATAGAGTCTTCAATAAACGTACCTTGACTATTGAGGAGTCTCCTCACGTTGTATTTTCCGAAGATAATCCTTGCATGGCGAGAAAGGATATTTGTGATGATCTTGCAGATTCATTAGAGAGAATACACGTTGATGATGATGAAGACAACACGGGAATATATACCAACACGCAGCCGCAAATTGGGGAGATACCTCAAGCAACTAACCAAGGTGAAGAAGAAAATCAAGAGGAAGAAGAAGAACAAGAGGAACACGAAGAAGAAGCAACCGAGTTTCCCATTGCATGGAGAACAAAAAAGAACCATCCGCTTGACCAGGTAATTGGTAGCATCAACCGCGGGGTAAGTACTCGTAACTCACTTAGGGACACCGTAGGACACATGGCTTTTGTTTCTCAAACTGAACCTACAACCATTTCCGAAGCAATAAACGATGAACATTGGACCTTGGCCATGCAAGAGGAGCTAAACCAATTCAAACGGAATGACGTTTGGGAATTGGTGCCAAGGCCCGATGATCGTACAATTATTGGAACGAAATGGGTGTTCCGTAACAAACTTGATGAAAATGGAATAATCACTAGAAACAAAGCTAGGCTCGTAGCTAAAGGATACAATCAAGAAGAAGGCATTGATTTCGAAGAAACTTATGCACCCGTAGCACGTTTAGAAGCTATTCGTTTACTTCTTACTTTTGCTTCGTCTATGGATTTTAAACTTTATCAAATTGATGTTAAGAGTGCCTTCCTCAATGGTTTTATTCAAGAGGAAGTGTATGTTGACCAGCCCCTGGGGTTTGAAGACTTTGAGTTTCCGGACCATGTCTTCAAACTCAAGAAAGCGCTCTACGATCTTAAACAAGCACCCCGTGCTTGGTACGAACGGTTGAGTAAATTTCTTTTGGATAGTGGTTTCCAAAGGGGAAA